CCAATGACAAGCTCATTGAGATCTACCAACGACGCCGGCTGTCAGATCCTCTCTCTCTCTGTTCTGTGACAGCGGCTCCGTCCTCCCCCGCCGCCAGTTCCTTCACTTCCTTCTTCTCGGATCCCCACTGGGGAGAGCAGCGGGGATCCAGAGAAGCGGCGGGAGGAGAGGACAGTGCGGTCTACCAGTGATCGCTACGCGATCGACTGGTAGATCGCGATCAACCTTGTGGGCACCCCTGCTATATACCATGGATAAAACCAGATACGAGACCTCCGAGATTAGCTCTCCCCTTCTTTATACTTCCTCTTTTAAAAGTGTGGGATCATATGATAAAAGAAATTCAGATTACAACTATTGTGGGACCCATGACTCCTATCATGGGAAATCCAATATTTAAACCAGGGGAGGTAAATAAGCAATTTTTTCAATGGACCAGGAGCTCACCTTCACCTATAATGGATGCCCTTACATCAACACAAATGGAGCTGGGAGGCGGGTCATTACTCGCCACCCAGCTTTCTGATCACACGAGAAGCTGGCTCCAGGTTCCTCTGCGGCACTGCTGGTCAGAGGAAAGCTTCCTCTGACCGGAAGTTCCAGTATTGGGGAAGGTATTGGAGCATTCATACCTCTCCCAAATACTCAGTATCGGCACGGATACCGATACTAGTATCAGTATCTGTGCATCCCTATTTATAACCCATTAACAGTGGCGTAACAATCACCATAATGACCCAGGCAGCCGCTATGGGGCCCGGGGCACAGTGGGGCCCGGCCAGATGCAGTGCGGGTCGCTATGGGATCCTCTGCTGGTGGCTTTCACTGGCGGCTGAAGACGAACATGCCGCTGTTCAGATCACTGACAGTAATCTGTGCAGCAGCACGTTCCTCTCCACAGAGGCAATGAGAGCCAGCAGCGGCAGTGGAGGAGGAGGCGGGGCCGTGGTCGGCAGCAGGCGGGGCCCAGCAATGGAGGCGGGGCCCATCAGCGACCGTGGAGAAGAGGAGGCGGACAGGTAAGGAGTGCCACCAGCCAACCTGAGGGTGACCCTGCATAGCCCACCATAGAGAGTCTATGGTGGGCTCTGCAAGTTCACCCTCCGGTGGGATCTGCAAGGGGTATAACTAGAAATCACGGGCCCCATACAAAAGTTTGCTATCGGGCCCTGTGATTTCAAGTTACACACCTGCCCTTTACCATTCCTAAAAAAAACAATTTCTATGGGTGCAATTAAAAGGAGCCAACCTGCCAGGGTTAATACTCCTCCAGATAAATAGTCATTATTTAAACGCAAAGCCAACACTAAGGAGTTCATTTATAAACGTTCCACCCAATGTATAACATTCACACAGCACTAGCACTTCCAGATGGTGCTGACATGTATAGGAATTCCCATACACGTCATTGCTATCTACGGGTGCTACTGCTGTACCAACTGCATCTGCCCGGCATGCAACTATACATCGGGTGAACCCCCACGAGTCCCCCAATCACTTGTGTTGTAAAGGCGATAATCAGGGCACTAAATGCAATAACACTGTGGCACCTGAGAAGTACTGCTACAGGCAAGAACCATTCGATGGATCCCAGCTGTGCTCTGGTATATCACCTCCTTTGAAAACTAGGTCTAATGACATGGTTTCTGAGGGTGTAAACCATTGGCCCGATTGGCTCCTTTATAGTGAGTACCTGTTGAAAATGTGGTTTCTGTAATAAAGACCAGTCACTGCTACTCTCTACTTGTGCAGGCTGACTGGTCTCGTCTCCGCCCCCTTCAACAGTATTCTGCAGGCAGCTTGTCTTGGGTGGAGCCTCCCAGGTCCCTCCCACAGGCCTGCCCCCTGCACAGGCTATGTACAGCACAGGCTGGTGTCACTGCTACATTCATTCTGTAATATCTGGGTTTACAAAGACATTTTTGGTTCACAGAGTAGAATTCTATTCTTTGGGGCCATTGAGGAATATTTAAATAGCTTTCCCCAGAGTTTAGGTTTAACTCTTGGAACTACAGCACATTTACAGTTCCCAGGTCTAAATTGTGGACAATACAGAATTCCAATGCACGTCAGGCACACTTATTCGTGCAGACAAATCTGTATTTGTAAAATAAACAGCACATGTAGGACAGATATGTACAAAGCAGTCACAATAAAACATCATTAGTTACAGCTAGTAACCACGGGTAAAGCATTGGGCGCATCACACCTTACTAATTCCCACTAATGCAGGGCTGGACAAATCTCAGGAGCCAGGTCGCCAATGCTCCGTACCGCTGGTGCTTAAATTCTGAGGTTCTCTAGTTATTGCAGCTGGTTCCTAAAAAGAATCCTGCTGGCTCCTGGATTGGACAGACTGGCTCCTGAATACCATATTCATTTGCCCACCCCTGTGCCAATGTCTGCATAGCTTTCAGTGAACCTGTTTCAAACACATCGTTGCATACCTCACAGAGCGTTCTGTCCTATTGAGTTTACATGGCCGCTATACAAGTTTCCCTTCAGTGTAGACTGAGCATGCTCCCGTTAAAGAGGAACTCCAACTATCAACAAAATGAATAAGCTACCCCTGCACTGCAAGGGTTAACTGCTCATTTTGGGGTCAGAATACAGAAGAAATACTCACCTGATCCTCAGCCCTGCGGCAGTCAACTTTCACCTGTCTTCCCCTCAGCTCCGGCATGTTCCTCTGCAGCTTCACGTTTATTGTGGAATGGACCTTCACTAGACACGATGGCCTCAGTGGGCCTTAAGACAGCCAGAGCCCATAGGAGAAGAGTCTGCGGGGACCCCTCTAGCATGGGAGAGCATCATGGGAGTAAATATTTAATCCAACCCCTAGACCAAAAAAAGAGCAGTTAACACCCCCCTCCCGCACTGCAGGGGTTAACTGCTTTTTCCCTTTTCTAATTTTTGGAGTTCCCCTTTAAGGGCTTGTTCATGCCAGCAACATTGGGCTGCCTTTCCCAATGCAGTAACGAAGCAATTCGCTTTACGTCCTATGAGCGGCTTGAGTCCTGCATCCAGACCTGACAATAAACACTTTTAGAAACCGCGCTGCTTTGAGTCAGACGTGGCAGTGTTCAGTTTAAAAGGGCGCACAGAGAGCCTGCATGCGCTCCTGTCATCCCCAGCATCAGTCAAATGTACGGAAAGCCAAAATCTTTTATATTTTTGGGGGATCTGGAAGGGGATGGTGAGGATCCCCCATGCGTGTGTCCCATTCCCTTCATTTTATATCCCAAAGCCGACAGGAAGTAAAAGGAAAATCACTTATCGAAAGAGTTAATGGCACCGCAAATGTGGCCAGGAAAGCGCGCATTTTCCCTGCAGCTTGAAACACCCAAGAGAAAAAAAAAGTGTTAGAATCTGCTACTTTCCTGCATCTGTTCCTCGTGCAGCAGCCACTGAAATCGGGGACGTATGACAAATGGGGAAAAAATCCCCCACACGCCAACATGCATGAACGTGACGCACGTTCGCTGATGTGTAAAGAGCACTCATGTGTACAGAGCCAGAGTTTGTGAACCATTGCTTTGTACCAGGGGAGGCAACCTCGGCACTCCAGCTGTTGTGGAACTACAAGTCCCATGAGGCATTGCATGACTGAGCCACAGGCATGATGGGATCTGCCATTTAGCACTGCTGGAGTGCCAAGGTTCCCTAGTCCCAATTACTGTTGCCCCTATTACAGTGCACAAGTAGTCCCATGAGAAGGAGGTGATGGGGGCCCCTTGGTCATACATGCTGCTCTGCAGACGGTAGGAATGACATGGGTGGTCGCTGAATGGAGAACTCTGCTAAAATGGGGAACTCCAGGAATACAGATACTTTCTTTGGTCCAGCCTGGCTCAATAAAAAAAAAAGGTGTCCATACCTGATCTCGGGGGTGGGGGGCTGCTGAAAGTTACTATAGCCGACAGCACTACACAAGTCAGTGTGTCCCCTCTACACAGTGAGCTCATGGAGTTGCTCGCTGGACACTGCTACTATTCTGGGAATACCTTTATCAAAACTCCCAGCTGACACCACAACACAATGAAGGAGTTTCACATTTGCTGCTCTGACCGCAAAGAACCCTCTCCATATTTTCAGATTAAACCCGCTTCGCTTCAACCTCAATGCATGCTCATCAAGGACCTGATGCAGAGTGTCATCTCCAGCAGTTGAAGAAGTTTAATTTCCCCAATCGTTCCTCATAGCCGAGCTACTCCAGCCCCCCCAAATTCCTTTCATTGACCTTCACTGCACTCTGTCCAATTCTAGGACCCAAAATTGGACGGCATACTGAATATGACGCCGAACCAGCGTTTTGTAAAGGGGTACAAGCATTGATTTGTCCCTCGAATGCCCTTCCTAATTGATTGATGATGATGATGAAGTCTACGGTCCACCAGGACCCCCAAATCTATTCCTATCTCTGAATTACTGGCCCATGGACCTTGTGGCATCGCAGCGCTCCAGGGATCCTAGAGGGCACCCATTAGGGATTACCTATGAGCAGTGTGCCTATAGGCAGGCATAGGAAATGTAGGCAGCATAAGTGGGTGGGGGGCATTGAGAAAGTTATGAGTGGTGACAACTCTGATGATCAACCTGAGCAAGGTAACAGCGATGCAAAATATTCCCTGCAGGCCAAGAAGCGTTGTCATGTGTCCAAGAAGAAAAGGGGGTTTAACCAATATGATCATCAGGTATTTATAGACCGAAACCAGCCCCCTTTTAACATCTGATCAGTGCAGTAGATTTCCAGCGGAGTTTCCGTTTAATTGACGGAGAAATCTGCTCTTGCTGTATGTGCACCCCTACACAAACGCATCGATGGGGCAGCACAGCGGAGGGATGCGGCTACGACAATGATGCAACCCCGGCAGATGTCATAATAGGAAGCAAAGGCCTAGCCCCACCCCCCACTAATCCGAGGCAGATTATCACTCACCCAGCCTCCCCAGCAGCCGACATAGGACCGCTCAGCACAGACCTCCCCGCCCCTCCATGTACCTGGATTGCTTGTCACCGACCACACACCTGCCGAGCTCACCCAGCTAAGAACAGAAACACGCCCCTCCATCACTTATATCAGATGCCGGAGGGCGTGGCGGTCTGAGAATAGTTGTTTCCTATTGGCCACGCCGCTCTGCCTTTAGCCAATCATCTGCATAGGATGAGCCATCTCCCTCCACCGGTCCTCGTGTATGTTACAGCGGTGGGAGGAGCCGGGGGCGGGGCCGTCGAGGAATGCGCAGAGTCTGACAGTTCTATAAATGGAGAGTATACTGTATATACCAACTATACACTCATCTCTGTGTGACGGTATATAGTGTATCCGGGCTAATAGATCTATATATTGAGGTCTGCAGGAGGCATCCAAATAAACAGATTGTGGCTGTGTACATAGGGGGAGAGGTCACACGTGTTTTCCCTTATCCATATATGTTGTTTTTAACCAGTTGACATCCGCGGTGTTAAACCCCCTTCCCATCCAGGCCATTTTTCAGTATTCAGCGCTGCGGTACTTTAACTGACATTTATTCCGTCATGCAGCGCTGTACTGAAATGAATTTTATACCCTTTTTTGGGGACAGATAGAGCTTTCTTTTGGTATTATTTATTCACCACTGGGGGTTTTATTTTTTTAATATATTAAGGAAAAATTACCGAAATTAAAAAAAAAAACAGTTTCCCCTATATTAAATGATAAAACATTTATTATTACCCAATTTTTTGGTAAAATATAAAAGATGGGGTCACGTCGGGTAAAAAGACACTAAACATGTCAAGCCTTAAAATTGCGTGCGCGCACGAAACCTCAAAAAACGATAATACCCAAAATTGGCCATAGGCGACGCTTTAAAAGCTGTTACTGCTCATCAGTTTAGTGTTATCA